AACAGTGGAACTCTGCAGTGGAGACGTGGAAGGAAACCTGCATGTCCGTGTTGGAAATGAATGAGGCAAGATAAGCGACAGCTCTGCATGGACACCTGGAAGCTGACAGAGTACAGAGGGATAGTGAAGCAGATGAATGATGAAAGAAGAAGCTGAGTATAATCTAAAAAGTGATAAGCAGAAGAGTGAAGAAGGTCGCTGGGAGAGACAAAATATGATGTACGACACTGGGAAATGAGGAAGAACAGATTGCAAGTAAGAAAGACTGCACAACAATATGTCAGACAACCCGATCTGCAAACCGAAAGAGAACTGTGAAGATAAAGCCAATGAAAGACACTGAAGAAAACGCACCCGACAAAAGATGGGAATTGGGCGACAATGAGATTTTCATTTCAGAAGATTATGGAATTAGAGATTATTTACAACCCGCATGGAGACACCAACAACAAACTCAGAAATAATAATGAACGTCGATCCTTCGAATAAGCAGTCTTGAATGCCATTAGGCTTCTAAAAGCCAAAGAAGCAGTAGGACCGCATAAAGCTCACCTCAAAGCACTAAAAACTGACCCAAATATTCCAGTGAACATAACGGTACATCAGGTGTGAAATGGAAAAGTACCTTCGGAGCGGAAGAAAGGCTGTCCCGCCAAAATGCCAAATGAGGGAGAGTTAAAGTTATGCAAAGGCTGGTGTGAAATCATGCTCCTTTCCGCCTGGTGCGAAATGATGAGCCGTATCATTAAAGAATAGGTCTAATTGGGGCAAAAGAAGTCGTGTGTTGAACAAACTACAACAGTATACTTCATCGAACAAAATTTAGAATGGCAGTCTACACCGTGCCACAACTTCCTGGACTTTTTAAAGACCTTAAATAAAGTCAGCCGTAAAATGATTTGTCAGCTACTTCAATACCACAGAGTGCCATTCAACAGCTGTATGATGATGTATGCGGAAAGTGAAGTGAAGACAAGAATCAGGTAGGACTGCTTACTGTCATCTATGGGCTTCCTGATTGTTGAGGAAAAGATCATGTGGCCAAACGCGGAGAGTGATAAAGGAAGCAGGATCTTTCACTTACCTCGACAGCATCGTTTCACCTACAGCAGCTGGAATTAGGATATCAGAGCTAGGATTAGGACAGCAAGAAAGGGATTGATTATCCCCAAATCAAGGTGGCACTCAGCACGAGGAACTTTCAATACAAATGTCATACTGGCGCTCCTGTATGGTTCAGATACTTGACGCATTACTACTATTCCTAGGAGACTACAGACGTTAAATGACAGCCGCCATCGCTCGATATTGTAGATCGTATAGCCAGAGAGAAAGTATGAGAAATGTGGAAGCATTGGAAGCGCGGAACCAGCCAGAGACATACTGCTCACCATATATTCAGGGGAAACGGATATGTGTAGGACAAACCCCAAGAAGACATTCAGGCAACATCGTAAACCGGGCCGTCAAGTGGAACCTAAGTGGGAAATGAATGGCAGGGGTTCGAGAGTGGCATGGTGAAGCGCACGTGAAGAGTAAATGAAGGCTTGTGGGAAGTCGTGCGGCCAGCTGGAAGTGATACAATGGATATGTGCCAAGTAAGCTACATAATTCATTCAAAGCGTGCTGCATAAATAGTTCTAACATTCATGTTGTCAAAGAAGGTGAACATTGAACGTTTGTTTTTGGAACTGGTAGCCATTGGTGGGCAACCCGAAGGCGCGAATGGTTCGATCGTGTACAAGTTCAACGAGGATGACCAAAAACGAATAAAAGTACTTCATAATTTTGTATAAAACATTTGTTTATAGACTTTTACTGTTCTCCGCTTTAATTGCCAAACAATATAACTTCCTTCTTACAATACTGGTGTTTTGGAGTTAAAGTTGAAGAAAGTACATAGTATTTATCGGTGCGGAGGGTCTTTGTAACAATAGGAACTGAGGGATAAGTTCCTTGACACATGCTGAAAGATACTTTGGCTTCCGACATATTGAGAATAAGGAAGACTGACCTGGTACGCTTTAAGTGAATAGTAAACTCACAGAAAGGAAGTATTTTTAAGTGCGTACTTGCCAAAGCCATGATTTTAATATTCATCCTTGAAATTCTTACCATGTTATTTGTGAGGAAATTAAAACAGCTAATCCCTCTGATAAATTTGAATAAGGCATTTTGAAGACAAATTTCGCGAGATGATATAATTTCGCAGTTTTTTCTTTAATCGCTTCACAAATAACATGGCTCACAATTAAATTAAAATGAAAGGCATCACAATCACTCAGTTATTTAAGACGAAAAGTGCACACTAATGACCAGTTATATTTAAATAGATCCTGTAGTCCATGTTAGGCGAAGGTTGAAGTCTATTGTTTTTTGTACACAGTCTAGGATGTATGTGATTAATCCAAAGTGCTTCCATCACTCCCAGCAACCTTGAACTAAAGTTATGTGAAATGTTATTTGTAAGGCGGTTGTAAAGAAACTACGAAATAATATCATCTCGCAAAATTTTTCTTCTAAACACTTTATTTCTGTTTCCCAGTTATTTTGAGTAGGTTGACATTCGAGCCGATTTGTGCCTTCGTTAATCGTACCTTTATGCACCTTCTCCCCCAGTAATCCACAAGCAGTCTCAGTTAAGGACACTTTGGCAAGATGCGAGTTTGAAAGTGATATGGCTAAGGATACTAGCAAGAGTTTCACCGCTCATCATCAGAGGGATGTGGCACTAGAGGATCCCGAAGCGACCCAGATTAAATTTCCAAAGCGAAAGCGGGAAGCTGAGAGGAAAAATAGTGGGGAAAAGATAAACCACTTGGCCAGCATTTTAATGATCACTAAAAAATAAAAATTATTGGACGTGGGGGCTGTTAACTGAAAGAAACTCAGGCGAATGGGTAAAGATCTTCCCTCAGGCAGATCAAATTTATCAAGAAAAGACCCGAAACGAATAAAATCAATTAAATCGGAGTATCATGGACTATCAACATGCATCTAATAATCCTTATTCTATGTGCGGCATTGTTCGGAACAGAAGAACGTTTAAAATGCCCAAACCATCATGCACACTTTCTGGTGTCAGTGGGGTCAGCATTCCCGAAATTACTTTAAGAAATGGCTAAAGTGATGCATGCACCATGTGCATGTTTGGCGAGAGTCCTAACCACTGTTCCACCGATGCACACAGGGATGTATACCAATGTGCTGGGAAAACAGCTATCCGCATAAACGAGTCCTCCGTGTGTGTGTAAAATAGCTTGTTGTTACCCATAATCTAATTTGCTAATCGTTTTCTGATTACATTAGCAGGATTACCTCCCTGACTTCAAAGTCCCTTATCATTTTCTTTATTCTGTTATATCTTATTAGAAATTAAATAGCCAAGCGAATGTATAGTTAGGCCGCTTGAAGTGCATTAAGCAGCTGCATTATATTTTTCAGATCGCGCCCGTAAAAATGGCATGCATATCATTTGATGATATCTGCTTCTTTCGGTGAACTCTTCTAAGGAGAAACTGTATCTTCAGTGAGACAGATACCACAAAGGTGAGCAAGTTTTACCACGAATACTGTCCTAAACCCCAGAAGGTCGTCAAGAAAAATGCAGGTAGTTATAGGATTTCATCATGATATCGGTTAGAGGATCATTGGAAAACTAGCCTAAGAGTACTGGACAGATGTTTCACCACAGTTTGGGACTCTTTATCAATACGAACCCACCGAGGTTCAAACCGAGGACATTCTAGTTACAAGGCGAGCTCGTGGACCACTAAGCGACTGGGACCCGATCAAGGGTTTCCAATGGATCTCTAGTCGACGTCAGCTAATGGTGAAATCCTGTAACCAATAAATCAAATCCCTTCAAACCAATACTTGAATTCAGGTAGTGTTCATACGCACATCTGTGGGGCAGAAATCCTGCTGGAGATTGTGTGAAACTGACTACATCCAGAGACAAAATGTGCCTTTGGGTTATCGTTGACGGATAAAGTAGGGACAGGTGCTAACTATGACAGAGGTTCAGCCAAAGCCCTGAAATTTCCTACTTTATGAGTAGTCAGTTGATTTTGGGATGGCCCCAGCCGGAAGAAAACATATGTACGGCCATATTTGTAAGTGAACTGAAGTACTGTAACACAGCTGAAAAACGAAACCAATTCTCAGCATTTACACACTCATACACACTCAGTACAAATAATATATTCTTCGAGTCAAATTTTCGCCTAGATAATGGGGTCGAGAAGCTATATATGTATACTGATAGCCACCACAGAACTAAGGGTCCATCAATTTCGAACTGCAAGACCAGTGCACAACCGAAATCACTCGATTGGAGATATATTACCAGAGGGGTAGCATTTTATCCATCATCAAAGGGCAACAGTATAGATGTAGTCTAGTTTCTTTAGCCTCAGAGTTTTTCACCTGTATGATTCTTTGATGACCTTGTAGCAACTGCCCCATCAGATGATGGCTTCAACAGGCTAGAAAATGGTATTAAAACATAAGACTCGCGAAAATCCATGGATTGGCATTCTGCTTCTAAGGGAATACACTGACATTCCAAACACCTAAACCACTTTATCTAGTTCACTACTTTGTTTCTACGTTCTTAGAATTATTTGCGTTCGCCCTAGCCTCATTCATTTCTCTCTCCTTTCTGTTGTGTCTCACTGTCCTCACTGCCTAAAACTCAGTCTTCTTATTCTTCTTCCACTTTTAACCACCCACTACTCCAGTGCCTCTTTCCTTGAAGTGTCTATTGGCTTTAGTTAATGAAATGTGCAAGTCCTAGTAGCATCATTACCCTAGTACAAGCCCTACATTCCGTTCACAAAAAACAAATGCAATTCTTACTGGGTCCTGCAAAGATGCAGCTGCTCAGGGGATAGATTTCGATGGAATTCACCAGAAATAAAAGTTTTCTGGTACAAAAAGAGGTGAGTGCCAAGAAATCTCCTGGTTAAAACAGATTCCTTATAAGATATTGGATATTGAAGGTGGAGTTAACAGAGTGGTGATTCAAAGGTTGCGCTACGGTCACCAACTGGTGGGTATGTTCTACTATACGATATTATGCCGTTTACATTTCATCTGTGTGATTCATTACGCACGCTTCAAAAGTCGTGCACACCTCAAAAACAGCACGTTTTCTCATGTCTTTGCGATACCTTATTTTCATCTGAAGGTTGAATGTATCGTAAAGAAGTGTATTAACCATAATTAAGCAGTAAAACTCAAATCTGTGTTCCATGAACTACAATAACACTTTAACAGTCTTTTCTCTTGTTCATCAGCTCCCCCCAAATTTAGAGACTGTCTAAATTCACTTCGAGTCGAATACGACTAGTCGTATTGTAAGCTTACAATTGTCAACAATAGATCTGTTGTTGTAAGTCTTCATAATACCTAGATGTATTTTCTGTCCTCTGCATATATTAATTCACAATTATATTCATACATAGACACAGAAGATTCTACACGTTAATGAATGAATTAGATTAAGTGTATTTGCTTGGAAGTATTACTATCCTTACGTGCATTAGGTAAGCGGAATACTTTGTGCATTGGACTTTGGTACGTTAATTATGCTTAATAAGACTGAAGGCAGTGGCTGAGTTAGTTAGGATATATTCTCGACTGAAATGGTCTTTGGAAACAGTAGGCGAAACCTTCCTGTCATACCATCTGGTTGTAGATTGCTGCTTGAAAGCGTCTGAAATAACACCTTAATTACCACCTTTACCCGATTACTAAGATGGAGGGCTATCCAAAGTTTTCAATCTATCTTTCAACAAGGGGTAGTTTATATCACTTGAAATGTTCAACTTACGCACTTGAAGATACGGATGCGTCTATTTGGTACTGCCAGCTTCCTTACAAGATATGTGTGGATGTGATCAAGAGAAGTATCTGGGGCTAAGAGGATTTCTAGAAGACACATCGTATACTTTTTATCCGTGCACTTTCTGCAAACCATAAGACCACTGCTTAACATCTTACTAATATTATACTAAAAAATCTCAAAGCAACTAATTTTTAAAATGATCGATCTCTGTGAATATTTTGGTGACCACATAATGTAGGTTCGTCACAAATGATTATTTCTGTATTTCTGGTCCAATTTGTGCCAGGTATAATGAAGAAAACTCTTGACTCACCTCGACGATGAAGAACCTGTTATTAAGTTTCTGTATATAAGCTCAGATTTTGCTAATTCTGGTTTAATATGGCTTTGATAAAGCTATTAGCACTAAATAGAAAAAATGTCTGTAAAAATAGTATCGTTTTGTTTTTTTATGTATTGGGAATTGAACATTTTCTATTATATACTCAACGCCCAACTGTTTGCCAAACTGTCAAATGTGAACTTGGTTTGGATATATGTATATATAATTATATGGTCAGCCTGCAAAATTTGGGCTACCGATATCACATGCTGAAAATTCCATACTTGTACCAAAAATATGGTGTGGCATCAAGCTGTAATCAATATATATATATATATATATATATATATATATATATATATAAAGTCACATACTTCTGTGGGATTAATTCACCCACTATAGCTTCCTTTAGAACCCGTTTCCCTAATAAACCTAGATGGCTGGAACTTTTCATATTGTTATTCGCGGCTGTTAGAAAGACTTTTAATCAACTTACTTTAGGGCAGCTCTCTATTCTCGTCAACTTTAGAGCCTGATGAAATTAGTCTGCTTGTATCACTTAATTAAAATGGAGTTGGAGAAACCCTTTATCTTCATGTTACATTGTCTTCATCGCCTTCTACGATAGATTTGACATAGTCCAAGGTTTCCTCAGAGCGAAAATTGATGTTATACTGAAATACGCATTTAATTACGTCCTCCCTGAATACAGATTACATGTTTTCATCCTAAGGCTGAGCACGTAAAGACGTTTCTTACTTATGTTTAGAATTAGTACTGGCTAAGAATATATAGTCATTTGAATTTAATTGAAAGAGATAATCACTGTTGCCAATTTGTAGACTAGGTTAAACAGAAAATCGTTGTGTGCTCATGCGGGTATGTGGCAAGTTTCTATTTTAGGGGTTTATCATGCTGTGGATTACTTGAAAGGAAAAATATTAAAGCTTCGTCATCACAGATTTCAGTGGGCAACTGCTCAAGGCTGGTCACATACAGCCTGTTTAGAGATGAAGTTTTCAGAATCTCATCTGTACAAAAAACCTTAGGGCCCCTTACAGACCACCTTAGGGTGATTCGCAGCGTAGTTTCTTAGGCCCCTACTCTCTAGAACGGGGAGTCAGTCTAGCTGGTGTGCTTGTCGTCCCAGTGAAACACATTAGTGCTGGTACACTCTGGTCTATCGTTAGCGCCACCACCATAGAATGAGCAACTCACCCTCTTGTGATAACTAGTCTCTATGTAACCACTATCCCACCAACTTTTCTGGCATGGTAAAACCATAAATATTTGTTCCTGCCGGAATAGTTCGTTAGATCACCTCATCTAAAAAGCAGTTTTTGATCGTGACGTAAAGGATAGTGTTTTCTAACTACTCTCAGTGTAGGTTACTTGTCGTATCTGCTGGAAAATAAACCTGGTTTGTATTAATGGTCTAATAGATCAAAGTGAGTGGCGGTAAATCTCCAGAAATGTACAATCAAACGAATAATATACGATTATGATTGGACATTAATTACTAGTTTGATGTGTCTAGTCCTTCCTCCGGTGCAGACTGAATTCTACCAGTCGGGTTCGCAGATACACCCTGCCAACTAGCACGAAACCTAGGTCCAAGGCTTCCCGATCGCCTCCAACCATCTAATATACGATTATTTTTCTTACAGTTCACATTCTGTTTTATTTCGTTTTAAGGTAGTCGGAAAAATTAAAGCTGTCAAATGATTCTATATAATATATGAAGTTGGTTTTTAAACTTCTCCTGTAGTACTATTTAATGTGATCAAAAAAGCCTCACCATTAAGTTATAAAGCTCACAGAAGATAACAATTAAAATCATTTTCTGCTTGCTATGAATACACAAATTTAATATACAAAGTGATTATGCGTTTTTACCTTTTTGCTTCATTACAGTTAAAATCTGGTGGTTCTTTCCCAAACTATCGAAGTACATTGCAAATGCTGAAGACTGGATTAAGTCAACTAAACTATGCTGTATCTTCTCGTCTTGTTAAAAGTCGAAAACTAAGCAAATTTACTCGACTTCCTTTAACATGGTCTAGTTCAGAAGTTATATGTATGTCAAAGATACTTTTTTTTCATATAGTCTTTTACACATAGACAGAGAAAATCAAGTTCCAAGAAATACAGAGATCTTAATTGTCGGTGGCGGGATTATTGGATGGGCGACAGCTTTTTGGATTCGTCAAAGCTCAAAACATTCTGTTACTGTTGTTGAAAAAGATTCTACGCTCGCTAACTCAGCTACTCTCCTTGGCTTAGGCTCTATACGACAACAATTCTCAGAACCAGAGAATATACAAATGTCGCTGTTTTCAAGTCATTTCCTGAGAAATTTCAAAGAACACTTAGCAGTTGAAGGTTTGAAATAGGCAATATAGTAAATTCTTTAGTTTAGATCATTCATATAATATAGATATTGATTTCAATCCACAAGGTTGTTTAATGTTAGCAGATGCTAAAAATGCTGATTCAATGAAAGAGAACCACTTATTACAATTGTATGTCTTAATATCTATTGATTTTTTTATTCTCTGATATATTATAGAGATTTAGGAGCAAAAGTTGAACTGTTAAGCAAACAAGACATCTCTACACGTTGGCCTTGGATAAACACAGAAGATATTGAAATAGGCTGTTATGGTTAGTTTATTTACCAAATGAATTCTTTAAAAGTGTATAGTAGGTTCCATTATCGATAAGATTTTTTCTTGATAAATCATACAGTGTTGTACAGTAATATTAACTGATAACTTTTCGGACGCAAACTATTGCTCATAGTCATATCAATTTACTCACTCACACAACTTTTTACTTCATTTATATACATGAATGAAATTGACCAGATATTTGAATAAAAATCAGTATAAGATAGAGTACATTCAGAAATAATAATATGAGTGTTATTGATCAATTACAATCAGATGGTAAATAAGACGAGTGTTTTTATAGTCATCATAAGTAACTTGTTAGAATGTTACGATGTACGTGAATTGAAATAGAATTTCAAGACTATTTATTATCCTCCTTTGATTTGAATGACTGGTGGTAATAATACCTTCCATATCTCTGGTATTTGCATCGAGTCATTTCTGTTGCATGTGTTGGGTGTAGACTCAATGAACCAGGATTCAGTAATGAGTCTCTCTCGCTCTCCACCTACTTATATTACTTTTTAGAATTTTGACTCTGTTCCACCCACCCTATTGTGTGTTAATGTATGCATGCAGTGCAGTTGCTCAGCTTCTTTTTTCTTACCTTAGCTAAATTGTTATGTTCCGACAATCTGACTACCCCCGACCTACTAGTTTGGCCTATGTAGTTGACTTAACTCACAGTCATCGCAGGGTGTTTTGTAAATTATATTATTTTGTCTAATTGGGTCAACCGACAGGGTCCTTTGGCCTACAGAGCTTGTCCCTGAGTGAGTTTGTAGGTTTGAATGCCACCCTAGTTCCTGCTTTATTGAGAATCCTAAGTAGGGCCTCAGATATCCCCCCCTTATATGATAAAACTGTAGATGCCTTGTATTATTTCTTATTTATGTCATCACTATTATTTTTGCCATTATTTTTACTTTGCTTTTAACTTTTTCTGATCTTCCTAATGAATTTTGTATGATAGTTATTCAACACCAACCAGCTACTCTTCCATCTGCTTCATTTCATGGTTTAGGTTTTTTGTTGTACTAATTGGTGCTATTGCTCGGTTTGTTAGACATTTAACTAAGCCAGCTTTTACAGACAACGGATGAGATGAATTAAAGTCCAAATATTCAATATTAGAACGCGCGGGTTTTTTATAAACGCTAGTGTACAGTTTACCTTCTTCTATTCGTTTCATTTTACAATCTAACATAGCTAATTCTCCTTGTTCATTTTCTGATCCAAATGTAAATCGTATTCCCTTAACTAGTGAGTTTGTATGAGTCAAGAAGCTAGAGATATGTTCTGTTTTTAACACTGTGAAAGTGTCATCCACATAGCATTAAATGTGTAAGGAGGCATATTTTCCCAGCTGTCCATAAATACATCCGCTACGAAAGGGATATTGGTGATCCCATTGCTACACCTTCTGTATGTCTATGTATTTTGCCTTGGAATTTAAAGACAGTAGGTGTGATGCATAACTGAATTCCTAAAATAATTTTCTCAATGAGCAGCTTTTTCCTATGACTAAGTTCGGGATCAGAAGTTAGTTCCCTTTTAATTGCTTCTTAGACCATATTGATTGGTATCTTAGTGTAGAGACTAGTTATATATAGTTTCTTTTTCATTTCATATGAATGGTGTTGTATACTACTGGCTGACTGATATAAGTACTTAGATACATTACTGATTAGCTTGGCCCCAAGATACCTGCACAGCTAGCTGTCTAGTGTTTAAATCACCTCGATCTAACTGGCTAGTAAACACTACTGGTTGATATGAGTGGTGTACAACTACTCATTTCAGTCAATCAGTAGTATGTATGTAGTTTTATGCAAATATGCTCGCTTCCTTGATTACCAGTTATGGTATCAAGCAGATCATACATTATGATATGAATAACTTCGATTTCCTAAAACAAACTGTGTTCAGATTTCACTCCTCGAACTGTGTAAATTGTAAATCGTCATTCAGTTGGCAAATTGTGAATTTTATCCAGTGTTTGACAGGTTTTGAATTGCGAAGTAATATGCCTATCATTTAGTGTATAATCTACACCTTCATACCCCTGGTAGTACCTTTTTCTCAATGTGAACATAGTCTGTTATATAAAGTGTTCTCAGTTTTCTTGTCGAAATGTTAGGATTAGATTTGTTTTTACGAGTTGATTACGGATTGATAAAAGTTAGTATTCATGGTCTGGACACTGAATTGAGTCCCAGTGGCTGAATGGTATTCGAACCAGCTTGCCTTGTAACTGGAAGGTCCTGGGTTCAGACCCCATGTGGTCGGCGGGTGCGTACTGCCAATGATTCCCAGACTAGGATGAAACAGCTGGTTATCCAGTCCTCCCTGTGCCTGGTTTTCAGTGGTTCTCTAACTGATATTAATCCATGATCAACTCTTAGAAAAATAAATATATATGTTCACTCTTAAATCAGTGTATTATACTAGTATGTGTGTACTATGTGTTATCAGTTCCCCCAAATCTCTAGCCATAATTTGGGGGGTGGGGGGAGGGTTGATCCGGTGTTTAGATCACTTCGATCATTTGCCTAGTAAGCACTACACTGGTTTGATGTCAACAGTACCTAACTGCTCATTTTAGTCAACTAATAATGTGTGATTTCATGCAATTTTGTTTGCTCTCTTGATTGCCATTGTGATCTGAATAATCATGGTTTCCAAAGTAAACTGTGATGCTTTCATTGGACACTAGTAACTAGTGTGATGTGTCTAGTCCTTTCTTTGGGGCGCAGACTGAATTCTATCAGTCAGGTTTGCAATGTGGCTTCCTACCTATCGCCTCCAACCATCTAATATCATCAAATCAATGTGCACCATGATGGCGAACTACCTAGAATGATGACCACATTGCAAACCTGACTGCGAGAATTCAGTCTGCGCTCCAAAGAAAGGACTAAACACATTGCACTAGTTACTAGTCTCCAATCAAATTATCCACTACAGTCCTACAGGAGGTCAATCGCTAGCCTGAATAGCTGCTCAGTAGTAACGTCTCTGACTGTAGTACTCACTGGCTGACGCGGGCCCGAGTCTCAGAAAGGACTCGAGTTCCTTCAAGCTGGTTGCAGATACGCCTTGCTGTGACTGATTTGTGAGTGCTAACTAGCACGAAACCTAGGTCCAAGACTGGGCTTCCTGCCGATTGCCTCCAACCATCTAATATAAACTGTGACGAAATTTCACCTTGTTGAAGTGTGCAAATTGTGAATTTGATCGATAGTGTTACCAGTTTGCCCAAGTAGCTAGACAGAAATTGAATGGTTTGAAGTGAATCAGCCTTCTGAGCTTGTCTCCAAACCAGCGAGACAGTCGTCCAGCGTTTATATGCACATTTCAATCAGGCCAGTAAGCACTACCAGTATACAAATACTCATATCAATCAACCAACCAATCAGCAGTTAGTATATGGTGTGATGCATATTTGTGTTCTCATTATTACTTTTTTCTCCTTTTATTTTTCTAGGTTATGAAAATGAAGGATGGTTTGATCCATCTAAACTGCTTAAAGCATTGAAAATAAAATGTCATTTTATGGGAGTAAATTATGTGGTCGGTGAAGTTATCGACTTTGATGCAAGTCCATATACACTGAAATATCGTTTCCCTGATAGACCATTAAGACCTTCAGTAATGAGTAGACGTTTAAGTTCTGCTACAGTAGGTAACCTTTTAATTTTTCATCTCTTTTTTTAAAACTTTTTATGAGTTGATCACGGATTGATACCAGTTAGAGAACCATTGAAAACCAGCACTGTTTCACCCTAGTCTGGGAATCATCGGCAGTACACACCCACCCGCCACATGGGTTCGAACCCAGGACCTTCCGGTTACAAGGCCAGCAAGCCTGTATATTATTCAGCCACTGGGACCCAATTCAATGCCCAGTGCATGAATTCTAACTTCTTTTATTTTATATTTCTATATGCATTGCCAATAGTTCTGTTTGTTCTTGTTGTTGTGTCTCTCTTACATGTAAAAAAATCTTTGTATCAAAATTTACTGAGTAAACATGGTAGTCTATTACTTCTAATTAATTAGCAATGATGCGTATATTCGTTTCAAAAATTCTATTTCATCTTCATCCTCCTCTGGGGCATTTTAACTTTCAGATAATGGTTTCGTAATCTAGAAAATCCATTTTATTTTAAGCGAAAAAATATTTACTTTTCAATTAGACCATCATCTGTCTCTCTACTCATTCAAACATACATATATATGTGCATATTTCAGAGATTTATCTATTTAGTAGTGATGTGTATTAACAATAATTACTCAATATCAACATTCTCAAGAGTTAGTGACTGACTACAGGATAAATTTGCCTAGAGTTTCAGTGAAAAATCGTGACCAGTGGGGTTCACCCTGTCCGGGAGTAAGGCCAAATACTCACTGATAACATTGACTGGAACCAGTCACACTAAAATCACAAACTGGTAAAAGTTAGAATTCATGGGCCAGCCATTGAATCGGATCCCAATGGCTTGTCGGTCTATGAGCTAGCTCGCCTTGTAACCAGAAGGTCCCGGGCTAGAACCTTGGCGGTGGGTGCATACTGATGAAGAACCCCAAACTAGGACGAAACAGTTGTCCAGATTTCTGCCATCTATCATCCATCCATCTATCTACAGTTTATCCGCTTGCCTTGTAACCGGGGTCCTGGGATCTGGACCCCCGCGGGTGCGTACTGTGAAAAGTCTCAAACTGAGACTCCCTGGTTTTCTAGTGGTTCTCTAGCTGGTATCAATCCGTGGCCAAAATTAAAACATTACCAACGTGTCAAAAAGTTGATAACTAACCGAGAAAATTAATACAGAAGTTAAAGTGTAGAAATAATTGCAAAAATTCAAACAAGTGGATTACGTAATGCATAACTTTGGAAAAAATGGGGATTAATTAAGTGTTCAGATTGATTACATAATAAGCAGTTAGAGATAAAGTAGTCATAATAATAAAATAATTAAAATAATGATAAAGGGCTTAGGGAGATGAGGAATTATCAATTTTTTATATTCATGCATCGATGGCCGTGGTAAGGAAGGCGACTGGATGGTTTTCGACTGAACACTGCGTCTGTGGCACAGTGGTTAGGACTCTCGCCGACCATGCACGTGGTTCGAGGTTCGATCCCCTGCCGACGCACACTTGATATCTATGGTCGGCCTGCAAAATTTGGGCTACCGATATCCATGCTGAAAATTCCATGCTTGTATCAAAAATACAGTGTGGAATCAAGCTGTAATCGAAAATAAAAAAATTCAACTTCTTTAGGTGGATTCTGATGGCTTCAGCTGTATGTCGAAAACCAACTTGTAGATCGAACTCAATACTGTTTGAAGAAAGGCAGGTAACTTTAAGTGTTTCATTAATATCAACCTTATACTCATTATGTAAACAAAATGTCCTAAACCAGAACTACGAATAGATCTTGTTTGTCCTTTGCTTAACCATGAAGGATAATGTTTGGGAAATACAATGATATACCTGTCTAATTGTTCGCTGAATGTAAATAGCTCCACTGGAGTAGTCAAACTGGTAGATATACATAGAGGAAGCGAAATTATTCCTATTTCTAGGATGTAAAATTCAAGTGGTTGCGAAGAGGCAGTGTATGTCTTCTCCCTATTACTCAAATTCCGTGAAATCATTGCATGAACAATATGGTGATCAGTCGTAGAGACTGAATAACTGATTGGCTGGTTTCAACATAGAACTTTGCACCGATGTGCAACAGTTCAAGTATCCACACTCCCTCCATGTAGCACACAAAGCAAGAGAAGAAAGTAAAAGAAATGTAAAATGGAGACAGTAAACAGAGATATGAGTCAAAAAGAATAGTAATACCGAAGAACAATATAGTTTCATTGGGTATTATAAGTCACAAGGAGTGGATGCATCTGAGCCAGCCATTGAGAACGATGAGTTTGAGCCATATCATTGATTGCATCCAGCTATTGGTTTTTACCATCCTAAGGACCACAACCAGGAAGTCTACACCTTCCTACGTGGCTGGCTGACTTAAACTAACTGTTGTGGATTTGACTAACTGATGAGGCCATGTTTTAGTTTGACTGCCACTAGCAGCCTGTTCCATCCTATGTCAGCTAACATTACCTGCTGTCGAGAAAGGCTATGGCTAGGGATGCATGCGCAACACATGTCCTATCCATTTCAGTCGATGTAACTGCGCAGCCTCGTCGACTGATTTCCCCTCCCTCCTTACCTAGTACTCGACCGATGCCTCGCCTCAATATTGCTCACCTTATTATACTTATTATTATTATTTCACACGGGAGATAGAACGCAGGCACCTATGATCAAAGACAGCTAGCTGGCCTTTTCATGTATTCCCCTCTTAATGACCAGGTCTTACAGCCAGTCATAAAGGAGAGTGGAGCGGACTACTGAGCAGTACAGACGCCCTTTCGGTCTATAGCCGGATATCGTAGAGCTCCAGGTCAAACAGTAAGATCATATGCGAAAATCACGATGTTTCATGCATACCCCTGTCGATTGTCTAACTCGATGTGGAATGTTAGCAAAATCAGAAACTACCTTTGAAGGAAGTAAAGAATAATCAAATGAAGACAATACCAACCGTAGACTTAACGTACTGAGCAATATGGAGCACTCCCTTCCCTTTCGTCTACATGACTATCAGAACCTATGGTTAGAAAATTTAGATGATATAAATTCAAAATTGATAACAGTCGCTGAGACCTATTTGTTATATAGGGTTGTTATATCTTTTGGATTATACCATTTTAACTCATTAATTAAGTTAATAAGCCTGATTCTGCTTACCAATCTTCACCTGATTTTTAGATTTCTCTTCCTGACGGAACAAGAGCATATATTGGTTTTCATTCAGTTGTTAATGCAGCAGGTCCATGGGCAGGGCGTGTTGCTGAATTAGCTGAAATTGGCAGTGAACACCTTCCAATACGATTACCAGTTGAACCAAGGTGATTAATTTTTTTCAAACAGTTTCTTTCTGTTTTGGTATTATTTCTCGGCTTATAAATGTGTGATTAGAACTCTTTCATAGTTTCACTGGAAAATCATAGAGAAGACTTATCGTTCAGGCGCACGTCTTTTATGTGCTTTCTAAACTCAATGGCTTAACTGTAAGACTTTGACTATCTTCCAAGACAACATTTTCAGTGCCAGCTGCTAAGTGAAGTCGCTTCACTTGTAGATAATTGAATAGGGCAGGATCTGATAAGTAGGATAAATACTTCATCCGTCATCTTGTTTATCTTCCCTAGAAAGTAGACTTTCTTATCTCCCTGCCTTTCTGTAGACTATTCTCTTTTCATACAGATATAGCTGCCTTTGATCATAGGTGCCTGCGTTCTATCTCCCGTGTGTGTTAGGTGGTATTATAGGGTGAACAATAGTGAGGTTAGGCATCGGTCGAGTGCTAGGCAAGGAGCGAGGGGAAATCAGTCGACGATGTTGTGAAACTACATTGACTGAGTTGGATGGTTAGGACATGTGTTACGCCATGCATCCCTAGCCATCACCTTCCTCGACAATGGGAAATGTTAGCTGACATAGGATGGATCAGGTAGGAAAAGAGCCAGTGATGGTCTAACGAAAACATGGCCTCATCAATCAATGAAATCCACAACAGCTAGTTTAAGCGTTAGTTTTAGTGTATACTTCGTGGTTGGGGTCCTCGGGACGGTGAACACCAATGGCTGGAGACAGTCAATGATATGGCTCAAAGTGATCGTTCTCAATGGCTAGCGCAGATGTATCTACTCCTTGTGACTTATAATACCCAATGAAACTATATTGTTCTTCGTTATTACTATTCCTTTTGTCTCATATCCCTGTTTACTGTCTCTATTTTGTATCTCTTCTACTTTCTTCTCTTGGTTTGTGTGGTACATGGAGGGAGTGTGGCTACTTGAACTGTTGCACATTGGTGCAAGGTTCTATGTTGGAAACAGATAGACAGACAGACAGACCCAGAAAATTGTTCGGTTGAATTCAGTCATGGTTTTGTAGTTAGACAACATGAAATGAATTGTTATCATTATTATTTGCACTTAAAACAGTTAAGCTGACTATGGTATTTGAATAATACTTTGTGTAATTGACTGTAGTTTGCTTTCTGTTACGCATGCAAAGTCACTGGCCTTCTCGACGATCAGTGTTAACTACCTAATGACGTTGGCTTGAGCCAACCACATTAAGAGTTGTAGACTGTATAGCTGCTGTCGTTGTAATGCCAAGAACTAATGGCTTTAGACTGCTAGTGATATTGTGGTGAGAGCTAGCTTCTAGCCAAAACTGTAGACAGCAATTTACGTCAGTGTTTGCGTCCCGAATCGGGTCATGAGAAAAAGTAATAACAAAGCTTAACCTTGAGGAACTCACCAACCAATCACAGAAGAATTAACGTGTGCAAATACGATTCGCAGATATATGGCTTAACTTTTTGAGAAACTGTCACATGCAGTACAGAATAAGCTTGAGCAAGAAAACAAACAATCAGAAGTCGTTGCTTCTCCACTAACAATGATGTACATAAAAATCTATAAATGTCTTTTGATTTTCCCAATAAACGATCTCTTGCCTGGCTCTTGTCTTCTGTCGTTACAATATGACTCTAAATCATTCTCAGGGGGCGCAGATGCATTCACTTTGTGTAGTCTCCAAGATCCATTAAATTCTCATGTTCTTTCACGTTACCATTCTTTCTCCGGTATGTTCCTGCTCATTAGAGTTCTTTTGAATTTCTCTTTTCTGTACTTTTTGTGTGTTACATCTAGTGTGGCAACTTGAATTGGTGCACTTCTGTGCACGTTTCTACATTGAAACTCGGTCAGTCAGTCAGTCAGTCATTCAGCCAGTCATTGTTCACTTAGCTGATTAACACCATCTTTCAGTGTTACTGATGCTTTTTTTTCTTTTTTCTTTCTTTTATTCAATTAAAGATATCGTCATGTATTTGTAGTACGACCTAAAAGTGTATTTAATCCTGAAGAGAAGATCTATCCCCTACCAGGTTTAGATACACCATTTATAATAGATCAGAATCGTTTATTTATTGAACGTCGTGATCTTTCCGGTGAATTTATTGTCTATTCTGATCATCCTAAATTTGATCCAATTATTGAAAAACAAGTGAGTAGTTATAATTTCATCAAAATTGTAATTTATACTAATTAAGATTAAAATTAACTTTTTTTAAAATCTTATTCCTTTGCGTTCCCACTGGAACATCATACGGTGGCTTCAAGCTAGAGCTTGGAAGTTTTGGTAGCAGTTATTTCATTTTTGATATAAGTATAAAACTTGGGCCCTGTGGTAGAATATAACTCCATTATGGATAAGATTTTATTTTGATAAATTACACTGTGTTTTGTACAGTAATATTAACTGATGCGATCACGTTTCGAGCACAAACTATTGCCACTCATAATCATATCAAGACTTGATATGATATCAACTTGAAAGGAATGCTCGCCGACCACACCCCATGTGGTCCGGGGTTCGATCCCCGGCCACAGATGCACTCTCTTACCTTGCTAAGCTAGTAATAAGACTGGTGAAGAGGAAAAGTGTTGGGCATGAGGCTAGCAGCCGCCCCATCCCTTAGAAAATAAACACCTCTGCTACCGAAACTTCAAGCCTATCTAACTTGAAGCCCTATGTTCCACTGGGAATGTAAAGGATTAAAAAAACTAAGCGTACAAATAATTCACCTACATGAATATGTATTTGATGACTTATAGGATTACAAATCTTTAAATATTCCCAGTAATCATATAAGAACAATACATATAAGCGAACAATATTGTTGTTTTCAATTAGATCTTCTTCAGGCTTTACTCTAATTTACATAGACGTTTATATATAAAAAATTGTAACCAATGACGGTGATTTTATGGATCAAATAATAATAATGTGGTCGATGCTTTGAACGTAGTTAATAACCATGATTATATTGATAATAAAGGTTATGTAGGTGGTGATAAGAATAGCAAAGGTAGTAATATGTGTATATGTAGACAATTCAATAAATAAATAAATTAGGTCAAATCTCAAAAGTTATGTAATACTAAAGGGGAAGTGGACAGATAATCACAGTTTTAATAAATATCATAAAAGTACGAAGGAAATGTAAAGTAGGAAAGGATGGGAGGATTTTGATTTCCCATAACTTCGGTTATGTGTAAAAGATGGATTCGAATTCCGTTCGAAAAGCTCGATGGAATGCGATAGATAACTTTGAAGGCAAGTGGACAAAAATAGTGCCTTCAAAGTTATCTATCGCATTCCATCGAGCTTTTCGAACGGAATTCGAATCCATCTTTTACACATAACCGAAGTTATGGGAAATCAAAATCCTCCCATCCTTTCCTACTTTACATTTCCTTCGTACTTTTATGATATTTATTAAAACTGTGATTATCTGTCCACTTCCCCTTTAGTATTACATAACTTTTGAGATTTGACCTAATTTATTTATTTATTGAATTGTCTACATATACACATATTACTGCCTTTGTTATTCTTTTTTTATTATTATTATTATTATATAAGCTTTATTCCAAATCAGTACTTGTGATACAGAATGGAATTCTCAGCATTTTACTACAATATTGCATCCAGTTTTTACATTTACAATAAATAAAGTTCTACATAGATTAAAGATTATCTCAACAACATATTAGTATGTCGGTAGCAAAGCCAAAATTAAAATGTTTGAAGGTGTTACAAAAGTAGATACTACTAGCATATTTACTGGCGTAAGCGATAGCAAAATGGTCGAGATATACAGAGTGTAAAAGAACAACAAGAATGTTTTAACTAGAGTTTGCAAGGAAGAGAAAGACAAAACAGCACTTAACAAAAATAAAGACAAAAAAGGTAGAGAGAATGGAAAAGAGAGAAAACGTTGTACCCATAAATGATGTGAGTTGGAAAGACGAGATTCATTGGTTCTAGTGACTATTTAATAAGTTAAAGGTTTCATGCCTGATGCATTCTTTATCACACAGAACACGGGCTAGGTAGGGTATGGATGAGTTTTTGTACTTACTAGTGCGGGCATATAGTTTTCTATATAGACTTCTTGTTTTCCCTGAAGAGATACATGGGGAGAGTTGTGAGTGTAGAGGGTGTTGTGAGTCAGATAAAATGGACTTCGCCCATTTTTCACATGAGTCCATGTGCCTGTCCACCAGAATGTTAACAAGCTGGCTAAGTGGTAAACTGCTTACCCTACTGACAACCTTTAACATCCTACGTAATAAGGTATAGTCTTTCTTCAATAGCCCAGGAAAGACTAAGGGGGAGCAATAGAGAATTATAGGCAGAATACGGGAGTTAACAAATTGTAGTAGTAAGGGTTGGGTTACACCAGAATGTCTTAACTTCTTGATGTAGAAGGTATATTTTCTTGGAAATCGTCAAGATATGAGACGACCAGGAAAGATCAGAAGATAGAGTGACGCCTAGGTATCTTATCACCACCTACATAACCTTTATTATCAATATTTTGTTATCAATATAATCATGGTTATTAACTACGTTCAAAGCATCGACCACGTTATTATTATTATTATTTGATCCATAAAATCACCGTCATTGGTTAAAATTTTTTATATATAAACGTCTATGTAAATTAGAGTAAAGCCTGAAGAAGATCTAATTGAAAACAACAATATTGTTCGCTTATATGTCTTGTTCTTATATGATTACTTCCAAATTCAAGTACTTGAGAAGGTTAACAATTTCGTGTTGACTAGCTTCATCTGTTGTAACTAACTGATTGATTCTAGGCTTAACTGGCAAAGAGATTTAGCACGATAGCGATGGTTAAAGGGGAATGTTTTTTTTTCAAAATAAGGTGCCTTCTCAGCAAAACTGCCTCGGACACTTTCCACTATCCAACTTTAATAGTAATAGTAATCTGCTTTATTCTAAAACAGACAGTACTTATGATACAGAATGGAATTCTCAACATTTGTCACAATATTGCATCTGATTTACTCAAAATGTAAATAAAACAAATGAACTAGAGGAATTTGTCCACATTTCCAATATATAGTCAAAAATATTCGAAGTACGAATTGAGAATATTAAGGATTATAATAATAATAATAATAACAGTGGGTTTATTTCAAACAGTATTGTCGATTGAGTTTGGAAATTTTAGCATGTTATAGATTATTGAATCTAATGTTCTGTTGATATAGTATGGTGAGGGGAAATACAAAATTAACGATTATAACACAGCTTAAATGATGTTCACACTTATGAAAAAATAAACAAATAAAAATAAAAACTTGAGAGGATTATAAATATAAGAAGAACAATAACAATAAAGGTTGATGTTGTATGGGTGTAAGAAATGGTGTTTTTAGCAGTGAAAAGAAGGTTAGTTAGTTCATGCCTAACACCATTTTCATCACATAAAGTACGTGCTGCCATATATGGTATAGTGGGATTTTTATACTTAGACGTACGTGCATAAAGTCTTTTGAAAAGACTTCTTTATTTTACCTGAGGAGACACATGACTGGAACTGTGGGTAAAGTTGATGCTCACAGTCTGATAAAATTCCTTTAGCAGTCATCTAGTCTGTATAGTCTATAAGAAGAGCTCTCTCTCTCTCTTGTGAAATCAGATTTGTTATTGATGTATTGAAGTCTGTGGCGCTACGATTACAATATTCGAAGAATTCACTTGGTTAAGGAAATCATCCAATTGATAGCAGAATTCTCCCTCAAAAATACACATTGAAGCTACGTTATGTTGAAGCGTAGGTGAATATGATGAAATGATACACCTATCTTCGTGCCACTTGCTTCATACGCTAATTGAACATTCCAATATACCAAACACAATGACTTAGAATTAAAATCTAACTGTTTAGTATAGTTCAGGCTTTAGGGCTTAGTGGAATATCAGTGAGAAAAGGCTTCCCCTCCCAACCAACGGCAGGAAAAAATGATGGAGAAGTTATTTGAAATGTTTTAGTGTTTTTTTATTAATTTGTTAAAACACTAACTTGATACTTAATAGGCACCAAAACATGAGTCACACAAAATCTCATAGTTTCTGTGAGGGCTGGAATACTATCTGGACGTCAAGGCCCACCCCACCGAGTTTGATCTACAAGGTAGTGGAGCAGTGTTACGAGCTGCGTTCCTATAGTTTCCAGTGTCCAAAATAGGTTCATACTCCAATCTATCCGTTCGGATTCTGGAGCCCATGTAAACGATAAGTATGGAATTAGGGTTTCGCATTTCCCCTAGGTAGATCTGCATGTCTTCCCACTCGTGGCTGTATCAGGTCGTTTATGGTGGTAAACATTTTTGAATCTTTCAAAAGGATGGTTACTAAACAAAGAATATTCTTTTCGATAACCTGCTCTTCATCAAGTTCTACAGTAATGTATCCATCCATAATAGTGAGTGAATTAGTTTTGTGAATAACATTAATGTTGTTTAAATAACATCGAATTGATAGTCATAATAATAATAATAACAATGGATTACAGTTCGATAGCATCAACATAACCACCATACACTGAATATCAGAAAAAACATTAGGAAAGATAATAACACAAATTCATGAATTTATAGTCTCCACTAAAGGCCGGCCAGGGCACTAGTAGTGGCTGGCTGGACTTGCTTCTTCTGTACACAAGCACCAGCTGTCTCAGGCGAATCACGATGACATCTGCTGTTTGGAGTCTTCGGCATCTTGATGTTTTCGCCAATTCATCTGGTACCCAATCGATAATGGCAAAGGATTCTTCAATACTCTGGCTTTGTGGCCACTTTCAACCAGGTGGTCTAATATCGAGCTATTGATGCTTCCTCACTACACCTTTATTTAACCCCACTGGTAGATTTCCCCCAGTGAGCATGAAAAATCAAGTCCCTACAGCAGCGGCCAATATAACTCGCTCCACCACAAGTGCAGTTGAATTGGTAGATACAATTAGATGTGGCTAGTGTAGGTACACTTCATCCTTTCGATCGAGGAATCACCATCGATCGTGTAAAAAATTAGACTTTTAGTTTACCAGCACTAAAAGTTCTTTTTAAATAGATTTTCTACTAAACTGCACTTCAAGGTAATAATAGAATGTTTCATAGTTTAATTTACAAGTTTATCTACAATTTTTATCTCTTGAAAAAGTTTAAAAAGTTATTTTTCTTTTTTTTTCTTATGATTTTCAAATACATTTAGCAGAATGATTTAAGTTGTAATTCATCAGCGAATAAAGAATTTTTCCATGAACATATTAAACCGTTACTATGTAAACGAATACCAGGATTTAAAGATGTTGAGGTAAATTATTTATTTTCTATTGAACATATAGTAACGTTATTCAAGTATCGGTTTGTAAGGATTTGATTGATTGGTTGGTTACAGGATTTCATCATGAGCTGACACCAGTTAGAGAACAATTGGAAAACCTGTCTAGGAGTACTGGATAGCCAGTTGTTTCGTCAGCCTAGTTTGTGGCTCTTCATCAGTAAACACCCATCCGCCACAGGGGTTTTAACCCAGGACATTCTGATTACAAGGCTAGCGACCTCGTAGACCATTAAGCCACTGGGACTTAATCCCTTGGCTAGTCCATGAATTTTAACTTCTACCAATTCACGACATAGAGTGACCACTAGCCAATGTCAGCACTGGCAAGTACTTGTCCTCACGCCCGACTTAATGGACTCTACTGATCACGACGACCCACTCTTTAACCGATGTCAGATCATTAGGAAATCCTGTAGCCAATTAAGTAATGTCTTCGGTTGCTTTGATGCATAAGAAATGCATGCCTACGCCTACCAGCTCATGTTTAAATAGTATTTTAATGTGTTAGATAGTTGAAGACAACCGATAGGAAGTCCTGGATCTAGGTTTTGTGCTTGCTAGCACTTTTCAGCAGGGTGTATCTGCAACTGTGGAGGGATTGACACATACTCCTTGCTGATGAGCACCGACAAGCGCGAAATCTAGGTCCACATCTTCATTTCTATCGGTCACCTCCAAACTCTCTGACATCAATTCATAATACACCGTGATTCCTAGCAATCTGGCTTGAAGATCATATTGTGGTGAGAGCTGTCCGCTAGCCAAAATTAGTAGACAACAATTTACGTCAATGTTTACGTCCCAAATCTTGATCATGAGAAAAAAAACAGGAACAAAGCCTAACCTTGAGGAAATGGACAACCAATCACAGCAGACTTAGCGTGGGCGGATAAGATTCGCAGATATATCAACGGACTGTCTAAGAATTGGCAACAAAGAGATGACGGAATAACCTTCAGCGGGAAAACAACCAATCAGAAAACGGTGCCTCTCTGCTAACAATAACGCAAATATAATGTACATAAAAATCTATAAATACCTGTTGATTTTCTTAATAAACGGTCTGTTGCCTGGCCCTTGTCTTCTGTCGATTCAATATCACAAATTTGACTGATAGAATTCAGTCCTACATTAATACAAAAGACTAGATGCAAGAAACTCATTACCACCCCCTTATGATTAATCCAAGTATATATTGAAGCATTTACACCTCACGGATGATTTATGTCCAATATCAGACGAACTAGAAAATCTACAGGCGAAAACCAGTCTGTTAGTGGAAAAAGCAGCAAAAACAGGACTACAGGTGAACATAGAGAAGACAGATACTTAACCAACAACAACAACAAGCATCAATCATCAAGAGTGGGAGAAATCTAAAGGAAGTCTTTCTCTCTTGGTTACCTAGACAGCAACGTTTCAACTATAGACGACACGGACTAAGAAGATATCAAAGTTGAGATTGGAAAAGCAAGACAGACCATCATTACTCTGAAATCAGTGTAGAAATCTACTGGACTCAGAATCAAGAACAAGATCCAAATCTTCAAGATCAATGGTAAATTTAGTGCTTCTGTATGATGCGTCAGAGACTTGGCGTACACGTCACCAGAAGTATTTCCAGTAGCCTGTTGCAAACAGTGTTGCCTTCCTTGGCTCGATAATGAAGATCTTATGGTTAGTGGGAAAGGATAAACAACATGGAACTCTGGGAACCAACCAACTAGGAATCTATCGTCTAATAAAATATATGAATTTTTGATAGTTGGGTCCGTTTGAGAAGAAAAAGAAATCTGATCAACTCCTTATCCTCAAGAATAAGAAGAATATGTACTACTGATACAATCGATGGTGAACTGAAGAGACTCAGACAACTCCTCATGGAAAATGGATATCCGTCAAGGTTTATTGAGAAAAACATGGAAGTAAAGTAAAAACCCGAAAGAACCCAGACGGTGCCGAATAAGGAACTGCTATTCATGAACGTTGAACTTAAAGTGATACGACAGCTGAGATTCTGAAGAACCGCTTATCCAGATCACTAAGAAAAGTCTTTTTTTTCAGCTGGACTACAGATCATTTTGTATAGCCGACAAATGATCAATGAGTGTGTGAAGGACAAACTGCCGTTTTGGTCCACTTCAAATTCACTTGTTTCTGTGGAGCCAGTTAAATTGACCGTACAAAGCTCACTTTCCAAACGCATCTCTGAACATTATCCGGCATAGTTAGCAAAAAGACAATGCAAGACAGTTATTAGCTCAGTTCTCGAGCAATTGGTGAACTTAAGTCACTCAGCTGCACCAGAGTCATCTTTCAAGATTATCTACAAGGTGATGCCAAATGGTATAAAGGGAGTCAGGTTTCAGCATTTGTGTATGGTGGAGGCGTTGGCCATCAGTCAATACAACTCCGAACTCTGCATACAGAAAGCGATTATCCAGTCTCTAATTCTGCCGTGGTCTTAACCTCTTCACTAGTCGTTCCCTGTTAAAAATGTCATTTTTCAATTTTACTTTTAGCTTGCTTTTAGTTTAAAAGTTAATTCACTTTTATCACTCTCATATGTTCGCTTTGTACATTCTCTCACCCTCTTCACACCTGTTAAATGGACACTAGTAACTAGTGTGATGTGTCTAGTTTTTTGCTTGGTGCAGACTGAATTCTATCAGTCAGGTTTGGAATGTGGCCACCATGCTACTAGGTAGCCCCCCATCACTGTGTACTTTGAATTGTTGATGTTAGATGGTTGGAGGTAATCGATAGGAAACCCAGCCTTGGACCTAGGTTTCGTGCTAGTTGGCACTCGTCATCAGCCACTAGGTAACGTGGGTTCGAATCTCAGAAAAGACATTGAGTTCCTTCAAGGTTGCAGATATACTACCTTGCTGACTGGTGAGTGCCAATTATCACGAAAAATCTAGGTCCAAGGCTGGACTTCCTGCCGATTGCCTCCAATTCTCTAATAATTTTTAACTTTTCGAATTTATAGCGCTTTTTTACTTTTGAAGCCACTTCTAAGTAATTATATGAATTATCTCCCCACCTCTACTCAATAATGGCCTAGTATACATTTTTTGGTAAATATAAACACGACTGTACAGCCTCTGAAGATAATTTCGTCGATAAAGAGAATTTTCTTCGCACTGAATTGTCTTTTACACACACACACACATATTAATGATATTTTTCACTATTACTCTCTGTAAAACTAACTGTTTTATGGCCCCTTAATTTCTATCTATAGGTCACTTCAAGTTGGACAGCTGTCTGCGATTATAATACATGGGATCAAAATTTAATTCTAAGCTTTCATCCATTTCATATTAATATGTATTTATGCAATGGTTCGAGTGGTCATGGAACACAACATGCCATAGCGATTGGTAAAGCAACCACTGAATTAATCTTATTTAGTCGATTTAAAACATTAGATTTAGTACGCTTTTCATTCGATCGTTTCTATTTCAATGAAGCTGTTAAAGAAAGTAATTGTTTCTAAAAAAAATGGAAAGGAAAGAAAACCAAGAATAACTTTAGTCTTCTTATTCTATTTATTGTAAATATTGTGAAAAATAATAATAAAGTTTTCAAAAACTACTTGAGTTTAAGTCAGTAATGAATATTTATGGATGGTTGACTAGCAGTGGAATCCAGGATAAAGCGCATTTCGTTCTATTCGGAACTAGATGTATCTGCATTTCCCAGTGAATGATGATATTCCCACCGAGGCTTGAATCCAGTGCCCATAATTTCAAACGCCACAGCATTATCCACTAGACCACTTGGGCGACCAGAGCCTCTTGTGCAACGGGTCATATTAATTTAATTCAATTTTTTAGATTTTCCCTTCGATTGATTGCACCGAAGTGTTCGGTCTCAGGTTGACATGTCTGTTAGCTTCTTGTGCAGATGTTTCAACGATGTCTGAGCATTTAATTTTTGGATGATGACTAGCAGTGGTAATGAATACTGTTGGCGATAACTTCTCCTTCTTCAAGTATTGGCTTTTGTAGGGATTTGATTGGTTAATTGCTTACAGGATATCATCATGAGCTGACACCAGTTAGAGAACAATTGGAAAACCTGCCTGGGAGTACTGGACAGCCAGAACCATTGGAAAATTTGCCTGGAAATATTGGACACCTCTTTCGCCAGTCTACTTTGGGGTTCTTCATCAGTACGCACCCACCCGCCACATGGGTTCGGACCGGGGACCATCTGGTTAGAAGGCGAGCGAGCTCGTCGATCATTAAGCCACTGGGACCCGATTCAATGGCCAGTCCACGAATTCTAACTTCTATCAATTCACGACATAGCCTGATCACTAGCCAATGTCTTCTCCAATGAGTGGTGACCAGTAGGTCACTACTTCCCACTGAAACGCCAGGTAACTACCTACCTGAATAGGGCCAGTGGCTAGTGAGCATCTCATTGATATTCTCAAGTATTGGTGTGTAGGCATTTGATTGATTCGTTACAGGATTTCATCATGAGCTTACAGTTGATTATATGTCCCCACAATAATTAAAGAATTAGTGTTTTGAAGAACATTGAATCAGTGATATCAAGAGATTTAGAGTTCAAAAGAATCAGTGAGAGATAGATTACACGCATCAGCATAACACTGAATTTATGAATTTATAGGTTCCACATCAGTTCAGGATAGCAGTAAATGGCTGAACCTGTTTTGTTTTACATTTAGAGCTCTGATTAATTGAAGCGAATTGCAATAGTCTCTCCTGGCCATTGAGAGTAGAAGACATGAAAAGACCGGCTATCTGTCTTCGATCATAGGTGCCTGCGTTCTATCTCCCGTGTGTGTGTTAGGGGGTATAATAGGGTGAGCAATATTGAGCGTAGGCATCGGTCGAGTGCTAGGTAAGGAGGGATGGGAAATCAATAGACGAGGCTGTGAAGTTACATCGACTGAGTTGGATGGTTAGGACATGTGTTACGTATGCCTAGTTATCAATCGCCTTCCTCAACAGGCATTGTTAGCTGACATAAGGACAGGTTGGAAAAGAGAAAGCTAGTGGTGGCCAAACCAAAACATGGCCTCATCGGTCATCCAAATCCACAACAGTTAGTTTAAGCCAGCCATCCACGTAAGAAGGTGTAGACTAGCTTCCTGGTTGTGGTCCTCGGGACGGTAAACACAAATGGCTATAGACGATTGGTGATAAGGCTAAAAATCGTTCTCAATGGAGCAGATGCGTCTACTCCTTGTGACTCAAAATAACCAATAAAACTATACTGTTCTTAATTATTACTCTTCTTTTTGCCTCATATCTCTGTCTACTATCTCCATTTTGCATTCCATTTTACTTTCTTGTGTTCTGTGTGCTACATGGAGTGTGGTGACTTGAAATTCTCCACATCAGTGCAAAGTTCTATGCTGAGACCAGTCAGCCAATGGTCTCTAGTATCTGGTATCTAGATGCGTTTGACAATTTATCCCATACCCGACAGAGATGATAGAGAAAGACTCTTCAATGGGTAGATTTGTGGCCTGTTTATACAAAGTGATATAGCATATAACTGTTTATGCTTTTAACAACATCTTTGCTTAACCAGACTGATAAGTGTTTCCGAGTACGAAAAATTGTGTTCCCATAGCAACGGGAAATAGAATTGGTTCTACAGGAACAGTTGAATCAATAGATTCAATGAGAGGTGGCTCATCCTATTGTACTTCATCTTTTAGTCTTGGAATCATAACAGGTTGTATAGAAAATGTAACTCACAGCTTACCGGCATTAAACGTTCTTTGAATCGATGTTCACCTTTGAATTATAGTCATATATATATATATATATACTGTTTGTTAACACTTGACCATGCGTTTAGCGATGAACTTCTCAGGGTAGCTGTTTTCAATTCACGTGTCATACACAACCTTAAGTTTATTTTCAGTGACATTCTCTGAACAAATACATCTAATCTTGTATCTAATTAAAGGAATTAGCTAACAGTTTTAAAAGTGTTGCAGATCAGATGGAGGCTGTAGTAATATGAAATAATACAGTGTACTTTACTGTTTTATCGCTTTAATGACATCTTGTGTGTGTGTGTGTGTGTGTGTGTGTGTGTGTGTGTGTGTGTGACTAGAACCTGTACACATAGTTGTACTGTAACTGCAGAAGACAAGAGACTTACTCATGGAAAGTTTATTTGGAATTTGGTATCTCCATATGACGAAATTATGTACGCCTTATCTGGAAAGCGTCATTTGCACAGTTCCTCTGTGTTGTACTACTTATGCTCTTCGTCATACTGTGTTTCTTTGTCTCCTCTTTGTGTTCTTCCTGTGTCCCTGCAACAATGAATCATATTCTCTCCTTGACATCAAATCTATCTCTCCTCTGTTTGATATCTTTGCGCCAATCAACCTCATTTTATGTACCACTGATAAATCTAGTCAGTAGCATATACCACAACACTATCCTTTACAGAATACATAAAAGAGATATATTCTGCAAATAGCAAAGATAGTTTTGAGAGATTATCCATATGCGAAAGGGAAACATATTCTCAAATATGGTTAACACTTCTTGCCTTCCTAATATACGGTAATATCAAAATCATCCAAACAAATACACGAATTGCTTTAGAACTGACATTTATAACAAGGCGCTATTAATTTATGCGACTACAGAAAGAAGCATGTGACCATAAACATCACACCTAATCAATTACTTATTACATGTGTGTGTACGTGTGTGTGTTAATTTTCTTTGTGTTGTAGTGTTGAAAGCGATCTACAAGTCCAGTTGCTACGAATACGTGAAATATGCAAATCTGACTTATTAGCATTGATATGGGTGGGATATTACTTTGTCCCTCTCTACCCTCTTCCTACCACCATTCACTGTCAAAATAGATAGGAAAATATTTAACAGGATAAACTTCAAGACAATTTTGGGAACACATGTTCAAATTCACTGAAGACATGGATGTATCTACAGAGTTCATGAATAGCCACCACTTGGAGAAATTATTTTAATTTCAACGTAGATTTTTTCACGAACCTGCATCAGTTAGAGAGATCATTGAAAACCAACCAGCAACAGTCGACAGTTGTTTTGCTCTAGTTGAAAAATCTTCATGATGTACACCCACGACGCCATCAGGTATTGGACCAGAGGCCTTCAGGGTACTAGACGAAGCTCGTTGACCATTCTTCATCCACTTACGCAGGAATCCAAAGAACCGTGAATTCTACTTTTGCCAATTCGTGATGCAGTGCTAGTCTCAATCAATGCCTTTGATTAGTATCCCCGATATTCTGGACCCCACTGGTCACGATTTTTCAGGATAACTGTCAATGAAATGGAATTTAATGTTTCGATTATGGGATTTTGTAGTTAGAATTCAAGGGTCAACGAGCTCGGTCTCGTAACCTGAAGAACCCGGGTCCGATTTCCGAAATAGTCTTGGGTGTACACCACAAATAGTTGCAGACTAGAGCGAAGCAGCTGTCCACTGCTCCTGGCTGGTTTTCAGTGATCTCTGTGAATGATGGAGGTTCATAATGAAATCTACATCGAAATTAGTCCAGATCCATAATGAAACCCATAATCTAAATTACTTTAGGTTGATTTCTGCTCTATTCCGAAAACAATGATCTCAACACCTTATTTTCCATTTATTTGCTCTCCCTTTGAGCTTTCAAACATCAGTATTATCATTTTGCTAGTAGCTTCTGTATTTACCTTCTTCCCTGTTTTCAAAGTGTTTTTCATCTTATAGAATACTGTGCTCCTCTAATCACTCCCGTTTAGTTACCCGCCTTATATTCTCTTTTTTAGTAACATACTGAAAGTATTGATAAACACTAGTTATGGTGGTTAGCATAGATATTGGACTGTGGAGGAGATGAATTTTGATAAAGTCTTCTAGTGTTATACAATAATATTTACTAATGACGTTTTGAGCATAATCTTCTACGCTTAATCATAATCCAGATGTTGGAAAATTATGGCATACGCGTTAACCTACTCACCTTATTACTAAGTAGTATGATAGCGTTAAACACAAATTGTCTGCTTCAGTGATGATCATTCTGAAAACATCCATACTTATCTTCTCAGTATGACTCTGATATTTAACTAAATAGTGATACCTAAAATGCTCTAACTAGACTGAATTCTAAGTAGTTCATCCTATCAATGCGTTTGATTTCAGGATTTCATCATGAGCTGACATTAGTTAGAGAACCATTGGAAAACCTGGGAGTACTGGACAGCTGTTTCGTCCTAGTTTGGGACTCTTCAGCAGTACGCACCCACAGCCATCATTCGAACCCAGGACCTTCCGGTTACAAGGCCAGCTCGTATACCATTAAGCCACTGGGACCCGATCCAACGGTCCTTGAATTCTAACTTCTGCCAATTCACGACATAGCGCGACCGCTAGCCAATGTCTTCGGCGAGTATTTGTCCTCACACCCGACCAGCTGCACCCTACTGGTCACGACTTTGAGTTATTCAAGTAGAAAAAATCTCCATTTAGACATTTAGAAAACAGAATGATTGTGCAAATAAATATTTACTTTTCTATTAGATCCTCATTTCTGGCTCTACTCTAATATAGCAT